CCCGCCCTCAGCTGGGAAGTCTCACCTCCGTACACGTCATCCATGCAGACAATCCCGTCACCTCCCTTCAGCAGGTGAGTGATGGTTACTGTGGCGGCGAGCCCCGACGCGAACGCTAGAGCTGGGGGGGAAAAAAAGGCACAAAAGAGGAAGTTTAAAATGAAAACGTGAAGCAATAAGCAAAGACATTTTGAGCTCAGGTGTGATTCACTTACAGTACTTTGCTCCATCCAGCGCTGCCACGGCCTTCTCAAGACAGTTTCTGGTTGGATTACCACTCCGACTGTACTCAAAACCCTAAAAAAATACAAATAAAGTTCATTTTAGTTCAAGCGTGTTGTGTGTGAAAGGTGCGTGAAGTCTGAAGTTGCGTTGTCTGCTCCAAAGTACATCAGGCCTGTTGTTACAAATAATTAATCTTGAGATACACAAGTGTCAGTGCCACAGCTGGCCCAGATGTGGTGCTGGTCCATGCATATACCACCTCTGGCAAACCACAACTGAGCCACCAAATGGATATTATTCTTTGCAGTACCTGGACCAAGTGTTAGTGTGTTTAGTTCCTTATCTGGGCCAGATCTAGGCCAAACAAACGTTGCTATGTGGCATGGATGTTGCTTTAGTGAGAAAAGCCACCTGGAACAACATACTTATCCATAAACATACAAAAACCTGCGACCCTCCGACTTTAGATGTGTTTGGTCTGTACAAATCATTTACCAGTTCACAGTAAAACAAGAATTAATACAACACAGATGATTCATTGAAAGTATAATTAGGTTAGAGAGAAATCAAATAAAATGCAATCCAGTTTGGCAAGTCAGGTGTGGTTCCCTCTTCGACTTGTATTAAACTGGGAGAGTAGTTTTGGTTATGTGGAAAACAATGCGAGTAATTWACTTTTTCTGTTTGAGTGCACTGTCCCAACTTGTACACAATACACCCGTTTTACATAATCATTAACAGAAACTACGTGGGGGGAGGGGGGGGGGCATTGATTGGTCTAGTGTTTCCCATAGTTGGGGAAACATCAAGGTGGGGTCCTGAAAAGATTTTCTTAATTTATTACATTTTTGCCTTAGTTGTTACAAAGG